TTGACTTGAGAGTTGAAAAAAATCGTCTTGATTGAGTCATGCGCAACGTGTGTGTGAGGATTTGTGATTTTTCTGTGCTATCCTGTGTAGTCTAGAAATTGATCTGTATGTTAATTGAAGCGAAATTGTAAGTTGTGCTAATCTACTGGATGACGTAGGCACTTTCTTGCTTGATCATGGATGTGTTTGTCAACTAAAAAATAAAATTTTCCGTTGCTAGCCCCTTTGAGCCTATAGACCTTTCTTTTGGCACCCACATTACAAGCCATACCCCCATTTTTGTTCTTAATTTGATATTGATTGAACCTTTACCTCCTAAGGCACTTAGTCGCTAAAAGAAGTTAGGTTAGAGATTGGGGATTATCTTTTGAGTGGAACCATGAAAGGGCCCTTTGGTGCACTAAAGTTGAAATCAAAGGTCACTAGCTGATGAACTTTAATATATGGAGTGTGTGAAAAAAAAAAGAGAAAAGGAAAAGAAAAATTGAAAGAAAAGAAAAATGATAGTGAAAATATGTAGAACAATAAACACCTCCAATTCTTATTGATTTGTGCTAATGAAAATATAGAAGTGCTTAATTGAAAAGAGGGCTATGTTGTATATGGCAAGTGAATTGGTTGAGAAGAATATGTTCTTGAATTGTAAATATAGTGTATTAAAGTGCTTAGGAGGGTTAGTCATTATTCCTAGATATATCCTACTCGTTCCTTAACCTACATTACAACCTTAAAGTCCTAATTGATCCTAGATTTGGCTAGCTTAAATTAGTAGAGATATACACTACGGGCAAGCTTATGGTACGACCACGGGATGCATATGAATTTTTTGTGAGAGTGAGCGAATTTTTTTCAATTGTGTGATGTCCTTAATCTATATTCAAAAGCATATTTGAATGTGTGGACCAATTTATATTCACTCTTTTGTTTGTTGGTGAGGGCACATGATCTCATGAATGATTGGTAATGTTGTAAACTTTCTTGTTGGGTAAGTGCATGAATTGAGGGTGCTTAGTGGTTGCAAGTCGACTTTTGAGGTTGGGTGGTGACGAATAGGTTATTGGAATTTATTGAAATGAAATATTATACTTGGGTATGCTTAAACGGGAAGAATGTAAAATTTTGTGTGTTCATGCTTATGTGCCGGTATTGTACATAGTCAAGCGTATAATGTGTGAGTAAAAGTTAAGGTGCTCCTCTATGATTGAGACTTGTACGTGGTTGGGGGGTTATTAGATAGTTCCATTGCTCGAGGACGAGTAAGAGTCTAAGTGTGGGGTGTTGATGTTTAGCTTAAAGTATATATATTTCTATGTATATCGCCTCATATTTTACTTTTGTTTCATGAATTTGGGATGTTAAATGCTATGATTTATATTAATTTGAAGTGTTTTTACTTGTAGGAATGATTCGGGAGCAATTGGGGGCGAAACACGTAAGATTTGAGCCAAAACGAACAAAATCGGGAAAATGGGCATTTGGGCGCCGCAGGCAGTGCCTGGCGCCACCTATGGCGCTGGAAACAGAATTGAAAATTTGGACAGCGCCCTGGTGGGCGCCTGGCGCCGGGCTGGGCGCCGTTGACGGGACTTTTGTCCTATTTTTCTTGGGACTCGGTTTATTCGGCCCTAGACCTATCCAACACGTATAAAAGAAAGACTAAACCTATTTTTGGAGGGGGGACACCATTTGAAGGAAAATACACACAAGAAAAATCCTGAATCTCAGATGAAGAAATCTGAGATGTTATTGCTCATGGATGTTTCTTGTATGTATTTTCCTCCAAAGTGGCGTCCCCCTCCAAAAATAGGCTTAGTCTTTCTTTTATACATGTTGGATAGATCTAAGGCCGAATAAACCGAGTACCGGGAAAAATAGGACAAAAATCCCGTCAACGGCGCCCAGCCCGGCGCCCACCAGGGCGCTGCCCAAATTTTCAATTCAATTTCCAGCGCCACAGGTGGCGCCAGACGCTGCATGTGGAGCCCAAATGCCCATTACATAGGAGACTTTGCCAAAATTTCTATAGATCTCTGGGAGTTTAACATTCGAGGACGAATGTTTCTAAGAGGGAAGATTGTTACCCCCTGTGCATCCCAAGGTGACGTATAATGAATATGAGACTTGTTAATAATGATTTAAATGAGTTTAAAGTCATAATATTACTATATATGTTGTTTTGATAGAAAATATTAAATTTGAAAAAATCAGAATTAAGTTGCGGAAAAAACGACTAAGGATTCGCTTTTTGTCATTGGCCTCAATATTTTTCTCAACTAACTCCACCCGTTTTGTCAATGCTTCGAGCATCCTCATTACCTCTAAAGTTACCTCGTGCTCAGCGTCACCTGGTTTATCGGTAGTTTGTTCATCTCTTCGAATGCTTTCGTGGGATTGTTCAGGTTCGACATTTTTAGGGAAGCGGCTATGATTCTACAGCTATGCTATTTCCGCTTGTTGAGCCTGCAATATTTTGAAAATCAGTCGTAGGCTCACCTTATCACCTTCACCTTCGGGCGTTTCTCGTTGTGTTGGTCGGGGTCCCCAACGGACACTATTTTCGGGATTAATTGGCAAATTGATGTTGATGGCCGCCTGCGAGTTAGCATCGACCGGGTCGGTGGCTGGCACACTGTTGGGATCAACATGAAGCACATCATTTTTGGGTACCACATTATAATTTTATACGTGATGGCTTGACTTAGCATCAACGTTCAAGTGAGCATACTAAGAGTTTGACATTTTTAAGCTGACTTGGAATTAAGATTTCAAAGACCAAGCGTAAAATAGGGTGTGTTATATTATTCTTAGCCCCACGGTGGGCGCCAAACTGTTTACCCTAAAAATGGGTAACAATTGAATATATACGTGGTTTAAAGAATATGTGGTTTAAAGAATATGTGGTTTAATTCGATACAAATTAATAAAAATAACAAATAGATGAATTAAAGACAAAATAAATGATCAAACCAATTGTAATATGATTACCAATCATATTCTTAGATTAGACAATATGATAGTCTCTTGCATTATATTCAGATGGTTAAGCTAGATCTATGAGTGTTGTGTAACATTTTTGAGTTTGAAGTTTTTGAAATTTTGAAGATGGAAGTAACAGAACTTTTATTTATATGCGGGTTTTAGGGAAGGGTCGAACCTAGTTAGGTCTATTATGCACAACATTATTTTGTATTTTTGCAAAAAGTTATTTCCACGATGAGATCTTAGTTGTGTTATTTTACTCCCTCCGGTTCACAATAAGTGATCAGTTTCCTTTTAGCAAGTCTATTAAGAAAATGTTAAATCCTATACAAAAATACCTAGTATGACTAAACTAACCTTATTAAATATTGGTCACATAGTTATAGTGAGGAGTGGGAAAACTTTTTAGGGATATGCATATAAGGATAAAAGAGAAAAAACAAATTGAATTTTTTCTTGATTACCTAACTGGACACTTATTTTGAACCAAAATAAAAAAGTAAATTGTCACTTATTGTGAACCGGAGGGAGTAATAAGGAAGCTATACGAAACCAAACTTCCATTTCCTCAATCAAATTAAATACGACTATACGAGTAGACATGTTATAATTGCACAATGTATTAATTAGTTTATTACGCAACTCATTTAAACATAAATTAAGTCAACGGATGGTGGTGTACGAAGAACCCTGCTTCAATCACCAAAATAAAAATATTCAAAATGAAACAGCACATGTGGGCATTGTTCATAATATGTGAACTTTTCTACTCGGATAGGGCGGAAGTTACGATATTTAAACTTCATCGGGTCAAAGTAATTGAAGAACTGAATTTTACGGGACATAGTATAAAACTAGTGAAAATCTTGGGTTGGGTAAAGTTCAAAATAGCCATTTTCTCGACTTGTAATTGTAAAATAGACATATCAAAACGCATTGAAAAATAGTCAATCTTTGGAATTCATAACGGTGTTATGGATTCGAATTTAAAAATGCGACATTTCATGACATTTTCCTATTTTTTTTCACTTGTTTAAATTTGAAATTCATAACACCGTCATGGTATTTTTTTTTTTTAATTAAATCAAAAGTATCTATCTAAAAAGTGGCTAGTCTATAAATTACTTCCCAAATAAACTAAAGCCAAATTGTTCGTTATGGTCTTGAAAGTCAGCCGAAGACAAGGGGGAGAATCTTTAGGGATAGGAACCATTTTTTACAATTTATACACACATAATAATGAGGAAAAACCAAACTTTTTCTTTAACTTTGACAAGGTGATGATTTGGTCATTCGGCATAATATTAAATAAAGAGCAAGTAGGAAAAATCATCCACACCCTCTCAATATTTTGGCCGTATTCTATATGCTTTATTGACACATTTTCTTTGTTTGTGGACCCTATTAACATGGACAGATGCACGTTTGGTTGCATGCTCTATTTTTGACTTGATGGATATATGGTTAAATAAATTTTAAGAAAATATATTTAGTCATCCACGGTTTAAATTTGGCAAAATCAACTCGTTTTTATTATTTATGTAATCCGTCTAAGTTTAAATGAATTGGATTATGATTCAATTATTGATTTGATAATCGGTTAAATTCAAAATAGTTCATCAAATTATTAGATATGTCAAATGTTATAACCCAAGGGGTCAAAATGTGACCTAAATCCAAACATACAAAATCAAATTTGTACATCTAGAATTATGTAATTTGGATGTACTTAAGTTAGTAATTTAAGAAAAATATTGCTTTCACATTCTCTTTATATATACATATATAAAAAACCAAATATAAGGGAGGAAATGTTGAGTTATATTAAACGAGTTGGGTTATTTCACGCTATTTAATATATTCGACTTAACCTACTTTTGATGAGTTGAATCATGATTTATTTTGTTGATTTGGCCCGTTTTGACCCGCTCAAAGTTTAACACAACCAGTCGTTTGTCATACGTCTACCCTATAAATTAGTATAATTGTGTACATAGATAATACACACCTACTAACTTAAATATTTTGTTCCTCTCTATCACAAGACACAAGTGACAACCATCCCCCTGCCTACACCTCACTCACTCTATTTATCCTCCTTTGCTCACTCCAATTTAGTGTAGTCACCTTCAATACAGAGAGAAGAGATAACAGAAGCAGTAGACATTGCAAAGAAAAAAATGGGTAATTATAGGTTTAGATTATCAGATATGGTACCAAATACTTGGTTTTACAAGCTCAAGGACATGAGTACCAATAGCAAAAGCCAAACGAAGAAAAGCCAAACATCATCATCCTCATTATCATCTTCATCTTCTTCAATATTTTCCTCAAAATCATCAAATCTTCAACAAAACCATAACAACAACTTGTCATGCCAAAGAAAATCCTATTACTTTTCAAGAAACCTTAGTCCTAAGAATAATCCAATTCCCAACAACATTAATATCTCAGAGCCACAAAAAAAATCTTCCAAGAAAAAGAGGAACACTACTAGGAAATCAAGAACATCAATTTCTCCTAGGTTTGTTAATTCAACTGTCTCAGCAGGCTGCAATTGCCGTGCTTCTCTTGAATCTGTTTGGACAAAAGACAATTCCACTACTCCTGAAGATTACCCTAATTCCCCTTTTTCATCTTCTTCTAATTTTTCTTCTGAACAAGAATCCTCTGTCCACTCTCCTAAAACATTTGATTCCATGATTCTGTCTGCATCTTGTCATTGCAAAATCCACAATGATCATGGGTTTGACTCTGTTGATCATCCTCCAATTTTGACCAAGCCCAAAAAACATCAAGATTCAACAAATGGTATCAAGAAAATGGAAGAAAAAACAGAGCATAAATCTTTAACAGTGAAGATAGTGAAAAAAGAAGAATGTACTATTACAAGTCCAAAGAGAAGAGTTTCAGTGAGTTCATCAAATGGTGGGGTTAAGCTGAGAACAAAATCTCCAAGAATTGTAAGCAGAAAAAGTGTATCTTCAAGTAAAAAAACAAGTGTTGGTGAAAGTTTTGCAGTGGTGAAATCATCTAAAGATCCACAGAGAGATTTTAAAGAATCAATGGTGGAGATGATAGTCGAGAATAACATAAGAACATCTAAAGATTTAGAACAACTTCTTGCTTGTTATCTTTCGTTGAATTCAGATCAGTATCATGATCTTATCATCAAGGTTTTCAAGCAAATTTGGTTTGATATTACTGATGTTCAGCTAAAATAGGGCAAGTCTGGTCAGGAGGAGTCATCTCGTGTTCACGCCGGGACTCACAATGTAACGTAGGCAGTCTACCTAGGCTGATTCTACCCCTAGAACCCAAGACTTATAAGTTAAATAGAAATAACTTTGTCGTCTTCGAGGCTTCCCTACTTATATTATTAAGCTAAAATATTTTTTGTAAATTTTGTTAAGTATAGTTATTATGATAATGTGTATAAGTAGAAATTCCAATGTTTTAATGAACAATTTGTCTCATTTCCTATTGACGTGTTCTTATACATTTATGGGATTGTGTTGTCATGGAAGTGAGCCAAAATTGAGGGTAGAAAACTTTTATATATTCAATGAATTTTTTAAAATAAATACATGGTTTAAACCAAAGCTACTGGGTTCGGCCGAACCCGTATACAATATACTGGCTCTGATCTCAAGTAATAGCTCAAGTCACTCAGTAGAATACGTTGGCAATACAGCATGTCTTACGGTATTTGCTAGAGTACTATACTTGACAATTGCAAGAAATTTGATTCAAATCTTAATTTCATGCATTTATCCAGAGTTTACCACTATTAAAAAGATCCTAGAAATGAAATAAAATTAAAGGCTGACATTCACTCAAGTAGACTTTTTATACGTTCAAAATAGTACACAAAAGATCAACTGGTACAAACTAAATCATAAAGTTTGATATGACAAAAGTTCTAGTTGAAACAAAACTAATTAGATAGCGGGGCTGCTATTTTGGCATTAGATCATATAACTGTACCCTGCATCAGTGATACGCAAAGATAGTGCAATTTCAATTATTAGACACTTCTACATTTCACGGCAGGTAAAGAATTGACAATCACACTAGAGAATTTCCCCATTTATGTATTTATTTATATTATATTCATCCTTAGCGTAAATGAATTCATACGCAATTAATTAATGCAATTTAACTTGATGCAAGAAGTTATGTACTTGATTTTCAAGTTACTAAATTTTACTGCTTGTGAGTAATTAGTTTTAATTTCCTTTGGCGTAATTGATATGTAAAATTTTTACATTATCGAAGTTAATATACAACAACAACAACAACAACAAAATCCAGTAGTTTCTCACAAATAGGGTCTGTGGAAGGTAAAATTTACGCAGCCTTACCCCTACCCCTGGAAAAACAGAGAGGTTGTTTCCGATAGACCTTCGGCTAGAGAACGACTGAAAAAGAAAAAGTAATTGCAACAAGTAGGAATAACAGCAAGATGAAATAAGATCGAAACCAAAAATGCAGTCAAACTCTAGGTAGTAATAGTCATTTATGAATAAAAGATATCATACTAACATTAATGATTGCGAACTGAGTAAGACAAAGAGAAACGCTCGACTACCTATGAACCTTCCATCATATTCTTTGACATCAACACCCTCATGTCTAGGGTCATGTCCTCAATCAGCTCCAGCTGTGCCATATCCCGCCTAATAACCTCTCCCCATAACTTCGTAGGCGTACCTCTACCCCTTCTACTGTCCACCGAAGCTAACCGCTCACCTAATAACCGAAGTTAATAAAATACAAAAGAAAATAGCACTCTTCTGTGATTGGTACTTTGTGTCATTGTCACTTTCCAACAGAGGTGAGAAAATTTCTTCTATATTATCCCCCAAAAAAGCCCGTTAGATGCCTAGTAAAAATACTACTCGAAATTATTTTACTAAAATGAACTAAAGTATAAGCTATAAAGGACACTTTAGTATGACTCAACTTACTGACAATTGATTCTAACTTTAGCTTCACTTCCAAAAGAAAATAGGCTTTCAGGACAATTTTGTGTTTTTAATTGTGTTTCTTTTCCCAAAATTTTTTTACTAGTTTTCTGTGGGTACTATCTTCAGCTTTAAAGTACTCTCCCACTCCTCAAAAAGCAAAAACATTGAAATGTCAACAGTAGAAATCTCTGAAAGAAGATTCAAATTAAGCACATTATATTCTATACAAGTTTCCATATGCTTTACTATTTACTTGCTTTTATTCTCAGAAGTTGTTGTATCTTCTACTAAGAGAATCAGCATGGGCTTAAAAGAAGCTTTTGCTTCTGTATTTTGTCTAAAAAGTTAAAGAGAGGATTGGGTAGATAAAGTACACAAGTTGCATGCTTCGAAAGTTACAAAAGTTTGTATCCAATTTCAAACCTAAATTTTTTTTTTGGGGGAGAAATATGTGATTTAATTTCAAATTAAGTCTAGACTTTATTATTTAAGAGTTTATTTTTTTTATAAAGTAACCATTAGAGAAAATGGTTGTGCAAATCAACTATATTGAAATTTGTGACTATTTTATCTAAAAACTTTAGCTAATAGAGAAAATATACGTTTACTTTTTAAAAAACTTTTATTTTTTAATTATGTCTTCAACATCAATAACATGATTAGAGCCGTTTACAAATTTTATTTCTCAGGTGTCTTTTAAATTATTTTTGTTTTTCACTCTGTGTTTGATGCCCACGTTGGGGTCCAATATTAATCTAGATTCGTGTGTATAAGACCTACAAAGGGGAAAATGCTCCTTATCAAAAAATTTCATATTTAGAGCTCGAATCCAACGCCTCTTAGCTTGTTAAGGGTGGAACAATCATATTCATCAGAGGCGAAGTCAAGATTTGAACTTTATGGGTTCGAAATTCTAGTCCGTTTATGCTACTGGGTTCTAAATTAATAATATATACATATTCAATAGATATTTTAAGACAAATACAAAAGTTATTGGGTTCGGCCGAACCGCAAGACCTATGCTAGTTTCGTCCGTGATATTCATCTCATCACTCACCCTTGATAGTAGGCAACGTGTTTACAATTAACGAGCTGATTTTAATCTAGATAGTATAGCAGGGTGAGCCTGAACCACACGAACACGATGTAAAAGTAATAATGAACAGAAAATCTATGATTTTTTTAAATTTAATTGTTTGTTAACTAAATCTAGCAAAGTGGAAGTTCCTACTGCTCAATGCTCATCACCGTGACTTTTGTTTATTGTCCGATTTATACTGCATAAATTCAACAAAAGAAAAAAAGAAAAAGGAAAAAGAGTAAAGAAGTTGGATCTATAATAATTGATTTGATATATGCATGCGGTAAAGTCGCGTACTCCAATAATTTGACTTTTATATGTCAATTTAATTATTCTATTCCGATTAGGATCCTAATTAAGTTTCAGTCTACACATTATTTCTACTTACATATTTGGTCCTTTCAGCAAAAACTTTGGATTCCATAATTTTACAACCATTTCAAAGCTAGAATTCTTTTTGCTTAGAAGTATTGATGATTATATAATTATTTCAAATATCACTTGCAATTTTGTCATGTTGATAATTAAAACATAATGAACGCAATTACTTATTTTATACTCTTTACAACTCCTGTGGAGGCAGTTAGCTGCTTCAATCTCCACGAAATGAAAAAAAAATGACCAAGTCTTAAGCATAGATCTTATACTTAGATACGCTCTAATGACTCCTTACTCGGGAAAAAAATTATCTGCACCTGATGTTTATATTAAATGAATGAATACATGATATTTGCCTCATACAAACTTTTATTACTTAACATGAATAAGTTTAAGTGATATGCATTCTTCCTTTTATTTTTAACTATTAAGCTTAATATGTTTGGTTTGATATAAATATCGGGTTCAGGTAAGTATTTTTCCTTTCGAAGATGAATAACCAAATAAATAGGAGACAATAACTGTGAACGTTACTGTGTTAAAAAAAACAGAAAACTGTTAGAAGAATAAAGAACTGTATAAAATAGTAAAGAATCAGAAATATTCCGAGTCCACAATTTTCTTGTGTGTCCTTAAGGAATTTTAACCCCCTCACACGTTGCCAAGGTAATGGATTAAATCCTCCCAGGATAAAGCGGAATAAACCTTCCTGCAACAGTGGCAATACAAACTGCAGGATACCAACGAACTCAAAAGACGGAGCAAAAACACACTTACGAATTTGAGAGAGAGAGACTGCGAATTAGGATGCAGTGTATTCAGAAAGAAAGAAGTTCTGGAGTGGTTTTTCGTGTATTTAGAAAGAAAGAAGTTCTGGAGTGGTTTTTCGTGTATAGAAGATGCAGCCTTGCCTCAGAATTTATAGGCAAATATCAGAAGAGGTGTCTAGAAAGATGTCTTTTCAAAAAATACGCGGCCAGAGAGGCTCTCTGAATCTGACTGCCGCGATTCTACCGCGGTCGCGGCAGAACCGCGGCCAACGAGGCCCTCTGAACTTTCAGCAGGGTTCTGGCGTATTTTCAGCAGTGATTTGGCATTTAATTAATTATTAAATAATTAAATAAATTTTGTCCAAAAAATAATCTTATCGATCATTTGACAAATCCAAATCCAAATCCAAGCGACGACAACAGCGCGAGGGTTCATTCTCTTCAACTCCTTTTAAGAGCTTTAAGAAGTGAATCTATATATAAGCACACAAATGTGATTGTCGCTCACCAATGAGGGACAAAGTGCAATACAAAAGTTCACTTCTTCAAATTTTCATTTTCCCTCCATTTTCAATTCACACTTCTTCTACTTTAAAGCCCAATGGCTTAAAGTCCAACAATAACCTCTAACAAACGCAAATTATTTAAATCAAATTTGATCAAACAAGTCATTCGACCATAGAGTAATTAGTAGCTTCCTCCTATAGATAACTATCCAAGATTTGGCACTTCATGTAAATCTTCATATGTATTGTAAACAAGGTTTGAGGCACAATAGAAGGAAATTTCGCATCTTACAAACTTTTTCTTAACAACAAGAAAGAAAAGAGGTTTCAATATTTTCGATACTTCCAATTTCCAAATAAGTCAAGTTGTGAATCATTAGTTTCCAATTAAGCCTAGCATTTATTGTTGGATCCTTCAATAATATTACAAGTGAAAATATAGCAAACCTTTGAGGAAAATTATCAAATCGGTAAAAGTGAGAAAAGAAAGGCACCATCACTAGTGAGCCAAACCAAAGGGACACTTGTCCTCAAGGTGCATGACAAATACTTTTTATACACGTTGATTTCTGTTTGTCATATGCCTAAAAAGCATGTGTACTCGAAAAAAAAGCAAATGAACAACTTAAGTTTTGCACTTAATATTTATACCAAACTATATTAGTTTATTATAAGAGAAAAAATTGTGGTGAGTATATATTTTTGTTAACTATGATGTACTTAGGTTATATACAGACATGTCAATTAATCATGTTGGAG